GCTGAATTATGTCCTGTTTCACTCACTGAATGCATAGCTCAGGCCCATCCCATTGGGTCTTATTCCATCCTGCCCCATTGTCCTCATTTTGTACATAACAAAACACACTATTGCCAAGGCTTTTTGGTGCATTCACTGGCAAAATATGCACTTTGTATGCACTTTTACATAAAGTAATATTTTTGTGCAAACCATTTGTGCACTGGGAATGCACAGCAAAATCCAACAAAGTGTACAATCCAAATAGGAGTTTTTGCAAGTTTGGAAGGATCAGATCAGGCCAGTCCACTTTGAAATGCAGATTGGATAGACTTTTCCTCAATCCCTACCTCCTGCAGCACTGTGCACCCTGCAAAAAGACATTCCCAATAATCTCTCACTGCCTAGAATGTGACATGGGGTGGGGACCTACAACTGGGGACGTGATGGAAATTGGGAACTCTGTTGGACTCCAGTACTAAAATCTGAAATGCAATCTTTTAATGAAACATCCTCCAAAAACTGGGTTCTTTCTGCTGTCATGAGGTGCTCCCTTGCCTCACCTGCCAATGGTGTCTTATTTGCTCTCTGAGCTGCTCTATAAATATGTATTTTTCATGAGAGAAAAATGGTAATCATGTCCCACCGGAAAACACACAAATGCCACCCTGTGCCAAGTTGTTCTGCAGCAGAGAGGAAAGTGGAAAGTAACACAGAGACTTTTGATGATGTTTTTGAGATGGAACATACAGAGTTGCTTAAGGCAGTCCCTCAACTTCTGCTGGTAAAGAGTTAGTAGTGTTTTGAATCTCATAGGGTTCCTCTGCTATCAAAAATTAAAAGTAAAGCCGAGCTGAAATTTCTCAAAAAACAGTTTTCTGGGGTTTGGAAACTGGGACTTTTCTTTTTCTTAAACCTCTTAGCAAAAGAAGGTCACTTTCCAGAATTGTTTCTGAATACTATCCACCATATTTGGGTTGCAGATGGTCCCACTCCCCACAGCATGGTATCCGAGAAGGAAAATAGGTGTAGGTTGTGGTCCGGGATACAAAACGGCAGCCAAGGTGCAAAAACACTTTGCACTGCCAGCAAGGCCAAGCATGCAATAGAGGAAAACAGTACCTTAAGGGGGGAAAGAAGTATGGAAATACTACCAAATTAAGATATAAACTGCAAGTTGGGTTGGGTTGTTTTTCTGTGAGAAAAGATGGTCATGCTTGTTTGTTATGGGTTGAATCTTAGGAACCACAAGTGAAGTTCCATTACAAGAGTGGAACTTTCCATCCTTCCCCACTGTACCTCTAGAAAGTCATTCCCGGGGACTGTAGGACTGTGAAGAAGGTGGATATGGGTGCCACAGCTGTAGGGAGCTGGCCAAAAATAAAGGGCAAATGAAAATACCTTTCACGTGCACAAGGTATTCATTGGATCCAATCCAATGTGAGATCCTCCAGCATGCGTATTAATATCTAAAAAGACGCTTAGCATCTAAAAAGACATCTGAATATGGTTCTGAAACTTCAGCTGGTTCAGAATTTGGCGGCCAGGTTGCTTACAAGGGCAAGACGCTTTGAGCATATGACCCCAATACTGGTCTGGCTGCACTGGCTGCTAGTTGGTCTCTGGGCCCAATTCAAAGTGCTGCTTTTGACCAGTGAAGCCTCAAATGGCCCAGAACCACAAGGTTTTGGAGTTAGTTTTCTGAACTATTCAAACTTGCATACAAACATTCCCAATATTTTGGAGGCTCTCTGCTCCATGTTATTTTCCCCCATTTTGTATACTGTGCGGAGCAGGGAATATTTTGCTACATCTTCACTCTGTATACGAAAACAATATTCCACCATCCAGTCCTCAAAAGGCCCAGGTGGCAATACATAGCAGCAGGTACAGAAGGAGGGACAGAGTCACATCCACTTTCAGGCTCATTGTGGCATGCCAGAACAAGAGAGGAGGAGGCAGCAGTGGCAGCGAATACAAGGTTCCCCCTTGTATTCTGGTCATCAGCCAGCCTGCCCTCCCTGCTTGGGGGTGGAATTGGCTGGTTGCCATGATGGGGCCAAGCAGGGATTTTTTTGTCCTCCTCTGTGACTGGCCTGCAGGAGGGGATTTCATTTCCACCAGCTCCATATTGTAGAACATTCTGTGCAAACCTTCCAAGTGTCCCTATTTTTCAGGGACAGTCCAGGTTTTACAGAAGCCATCCCAGTTTCTGATTTGATCCTGGAATGTCCCTCTTTTCCATAGGATGTCCCTATTTTCATTGGAGAATTGTTGATGAGTATGTTCTATGGCTTTTTAGATGTGTTTGTGGGATAGGCGTTATTGGTTTGTTTTTGTTTCAATATGTATTTTTTATTCACATTTTGCATTTTTTCTGTTTCAGATTGTCCTGGGATGATATGTGTGTATGTGTGTGTGTGTATATATATATATATATATATATATATATATATATAATTTTTATACCCCCTATACCCATACCCCCTAAACCCACAGGTCTCAGGGCAGTTCACAGAATAAAATCAGAATATAAAACCACAAAATATATAATCAAAATAAAAACAACAACAACCCAATAAGCCCCCCCCCTACACACACACACATTTTTAAAGGGCATAGGAAGTCAATCAAATCAACCAAAAGCCTGGTTAAAACGGAACGTTTTTGAGTGACAACTAAATGTAAAGGTATGTAATGAAGGCACCAGGTGAACTTTGCTGGGGAGAGCATTCCACAGTTGGGGAGCCACTGCAGGAAAGACCCGTTCTTGTGCTGCCACCCTCCGAAGCTCTCGAGGAGGAGGCACACAAAGAAGGGTCTCAGAAGATGATTTCAGGGCAGTGGCGGAGGAACGGGGGTGCGGAGGTATTCCGGTGCAGTGGCCCCCCAGACACGCGCCGCGCACCCCCCACGTGCCGGGCGTCAAGGCCCCACAGGTGGAGTGTCACGCCTTGTGGGGGTGTGCCACGCCCCGGGAATGTGCACCACGCCCCCCGGAAGGGCGCCAGCCACGCCCCCGCCTGCTCACTGCCCCCGGTAGCAGAGCATGCAGCTTCGCCACTGTCTCAGGGTTCGAGTAGGATCATATGGAAAGATGCAGTCCTTGAGGTATTGCGATCCTGAGCCATTTAAGGCTTTATGAGTCCAAACCAGCACTCTGAACTTTATACATAATAATCGATTAGCCCTCGATTAGTTAGAGATGCTGCCAGGCTGATTCGGTGTTGAGGCGCTCCTGGCAGCAGCTGTGTGCACACATAGCAAATGAGAAGTGCTGGGAGTTGCTTGAAGCAGCCAAACGTCCCAGCCTGGCCCTGTGTATAATGCATAACAACAAATGAATGGAAAGTGGGTGGGTGGGGGGAATCCATTCATTCCAAATTCCCCTCTGACCTCAGTAACACATAAGGCTTGTTCACAAGTTACGCTAAATGCAGGTAGAAGCAGTCCCTACACATACACAAGTGTCCGTGTAAATGAGTGGTCACATGATGCCTCCCTGCCAGCTGCAAGAAGCCAAGGGAGGAAGTGGTGAAGGGAGTCATGCCCCTTCGCCATCAGTGGTGCCGGGGTTGGCACAGGCTATTGGCTCTAGCACATCTGAAGGAAATTGCCATTATAAGCAAGTGTACAGCACCCCACTGCTTCTTGCTGTGGCCTCTCAAAGCTCAGGGAAGCCCTGAGTGCCTTTGGTTGCTCCCACTGTCAGGGATCATATCATCTAGGCAGCCATGATGCATCTGAACAGGTGGTATTTTAATTGGAATTTAGGTGTTTAATCTCTCTGTGACAATTCATTACAGAAGCACATTCCTTAAAGTGGAAGGATAAACAAAACCTCTTTGCTGCAGGAGTAGAGCAGTTCACAAAAAAGAGAATAGAAAATACATAATAAAACAAAAACAAAAACAAACCAATAATCCCCCCTCCACAAACACATTTAAAAAGCCATAGAATGTTAATCAGCCAAAGGCCTGGTTGAAGAGAAACATTTTTGCCTGATGCATAAAGATATGTAATGAAGGTGCCAGGTGAGCCTCCCTGGGGAGAGCATCCCACAAGTAAGGAGCCACCGCAGAAAAGGTCCATTCCCACACTGCCACCCTCCAGACCCCTTTCAGAGGAGGCACATGAAGAATGGCCCCAGAGGATGATCTCAGGGCCCAGGCAGGTTCATATGGGGAGAGACAGTTTCATAGGTGTCAGGGGTTCAGGGAGAGAGGCACAGGGTAGGCAGGAGATGGAGAGCGATGGGGAGGAATTCCAAGCCAGCGAGGAAGAGGATGACAATGACTCAAGAGATTCCATGAGTCTTTCCAGCGAATCAGAGGATTCCCAGAAGGGGGCGCCGGTGGTCAAGGCCAGGGAGCCCCAGGGGGGACGTGTCAGGAGCAGGGGGCCAGCGGAGGATCCCAAAGTGGCAGCTGGGCGTCAGGACCAGCCTCCCCACCAGAGTGCAGCGAAGGGGGTGGAGTTTCCAGTGTGTCAGAGGAAGCAGCTCCGGCAGCAGAGAAAGGAGGGGGGGTCAGAGCAAGCCGCCCTCCCGGAAGGGGAGGGGAGCAGTGAAGGGAGTAGTGTAACTGTCAAAAGGAAAGTTAGAGGTTTGGCGCGCGCGCCTAGTTCAAATGTAGAGGCGCGCAGAAGTGCAGGGAGCCCGGAGGAGGGGCCAGGTCCCAAAGCCCGCAGGAGGGGGGGAAGAGCAGTCTGATTCCGCGTCAGAGGAATCCAGGAGGGGCGAACCCCAGCGGGCAGAAGGACCCTGCGGAAAAGGAAGGAGAGAAAGAGGTGGAGCAGCGCAAGTCTCTTAAATTGGTGCAGGGGAGGGACTGACTCAGAGGGGACTTCAGCGGTCTAAGCGTAAGAGACGTAAGGCTGCGCGCCTAGGATGTCAAGCAAACAATGAACTGCAATAAACACCTTTGTATATAAGAAGACATAGGCGTTGGTCTTTTGTGAGCTGAGACTTGAGGCAGCTTTGACAGTAAGTCCCTCTCCTAAAAGAACCGCAAAATTTTTTTGCAAAGCTCACGAAGTTTGGCAGCGATGACTACTGAGGAGCAGATAGCGTCCCTGCAAAACGCAGTCACCGAGCTCTCCACTGCCGTCGTGGTCTCTCAGAAGACGGTTGCCGAAGCAGAAGCGCGATGCCAGGATCTGCAAGCCAGGTGGGATCGGGCGTGCAGAGAGGGGTTCCCGGGGTCCAGATCAGAGGGAATCGGACTCGGACGGAGGGGGGGCAATTTAGTAGCCCACTTCGATGGGAACCTGAAGCATTATCCCAATTTCAGAGCAGACGTCGTATACGCGCTGCATTTGCTTCGAAAAGACTTCAAAGATGAGGAGGAAAAAGTGGGTTTTATTGTGTCCCATCTGCATGGGGAAGCAAGGACCTGGTTACGCAATTTGTGGCGCGAAGATGGTCTTGCACGCAGGGACTCTGATGAATTTCTCAAAGCCATGGACGCTTGCTTCCAATCTACTGTTGACGTTGATGTGGCACGCCAGGAGATGCATGGATTGCGGCAGGGCAAGGCTACAGTGCGTCAGTACCATTCTCGCTTTTTTGCATTGCTGAATGTGCTGGGCTGGGAAAAGGACTCCTGGCAGTGAGGGACTTGTTCTGGAAAGGGCTTCATGGCTCAGTGAAAGATGAGCTGGCAGGGAGACAGACCTCAAACCCTAGCAGACGTCGTGCAGAGGGCACTCATGATAGGGGTGCGCCACGAAGAACGCCCTTGGCACAGGGAGGAGGGGCATCACGTCCGCCCACCAGCTAGAGCGCCTCCTTTTCCTTCCAGGGACCTGGAACGTTCAAACCTTTCGCCTGTGCTGGCAGCGGGGGAAGAACCAATGGAACTGGGTGGTGCAAAGGCTCAGACAGCTGCCGGAGCCTCAGCGTCAGGAGCAGTCAAAGCGAAGCCTCCTAGAGGGACCAGGAAGTGTTACATCTGTGACAGTGCACGGCACATGGCTAAAGAGTGTCCCCAGAGGCTCCAGAAGCACACTGCAGCCTTAGCAACAGTAACAGAAGCAGCGCTCCAAGGAGAGCAGTTTCAGGGAAACGAGAATGCCTGGTTGGAGGGAGAGATGCTGGGGCTCCGCCAGGCAAGTCAGTGAAGCAGTCCCCAGCGCTTTTGCAGCCTACAGACCCCTTACCACCCAAGCCAGTGGTGCAGCTCACTGCTACTCTCCAGCTGCCTAATGGACTCACCCTGGAAGTCCCCATTACGATTGACTCAGGGAGCAACGCAGACTTCGTGGGGTGCAGTTCGTCAAGCAGCATCGCATAGCGCTACTACCAGCCACGCTGCCTCTGAATGTGGTCACTGTAGATGGCAGGAAGTTGCTGGGTGGGCAAGTGGTACAACAGACGCCACCCATGCTGCTGAAAATTGGGAATCATCGCGAGGTCATCAGTTTCAATGTCACCCAACTGTCAGACACGCCCATAGTGTTAGGCATGAGTTGGCTGGATAGACACAGCCCATCATTGGCGTGGTACCAGAGGCAGCTCACCTTTGGCTCGTCCTACTGCGCACAACATTGCATCCAGATCGGCCAGGAGGAGGAGGGCCAGGAGGAAGGGCAACAGCTGCATCTAGGCATGGTGCAGGCAGTGCCCCACAAGTACAAGGGGTTTTTGGAGGTCTTCTGCGAGAAGGAAGCTGACCAATTACCACCCCACCGGCCCTACGACTGTGCAATTGACCTCTTACCAGGGGCGACGCTGCCGACTGCGAAGCTGTATTCCATGTCTGAAGATGAGATGCAGGAGCTCAGGGAGTTCATAGATCACAATTTGAAGCGGGGATTGATCCGAGAATCCAAGGCAGTGGGGGGGCAGTCCTGTGTTTTTCGTGAAGAAGAAGGACACGCCCCAAAAACGGCTCATTGTGGACTATAGGGCCATAAACTCGATGACGAAACCCAAGGCTTTCCCCATGCCCAAGATTGACGACCTGCTCGCGACGGTGAGGAAGGGGAGGATCTTCACCAAGTTGGATCTACGCGGAGCATACAATCTAATACGCATGAGGGAGGGTGACGAGTGGAAGACGGCCATGTTCACGCCGCTGGGCACCTATGAATACAGAGTTATGCCGTTTGGTCTCCAAGGTGGCTCCCACTGTTTTCAAGCATTCATGCACCACGTGCTAGCAGGACTCCTCTACAAGAAGTGCGTATGCTTTCTCGACGATATTCTGATCTTCTCGGAATCGCAGGAGACTCACGAAAGAGACGTAAAGGAGGTCCTGCAGAGGCTACGGGAGCACAGACTCTACGCCAAGCTGGAGAAGTGCCAGTTCGACGTGACGGAGGTGGATTTCCTGGGCTACCGGCTGTCCGACAAGGGACTAGCCATGGACAGCGCCAAGGTCCGCGCGGTGTTGGACTGGAATAGCCCGCGCAATCGGAAGGAGGTCCAGAGGTTCGCCGGCTTCGCCAACTTTTACCGCAAGTTCATCAGGGGTTTCGCGAAAGAGACGGCAGCTATCACGGACACCCTCAGTTCCAAGAAGAAAAAGTTCACCTGGACGGACCAGGCGGAGCAGTCCTTCAGGAGACTTAAGAGTCTCTTCGCGTCCGAAGACCAGCTGCTACACGTGAATCCCGGCAGGCCCATGCGAGTTGAGACTGACGCATCTGACAGAGCAGTGGGGGCCGTCCTCTTGCAGGAAGATTTGCAAGGGAACTGGAGGCCCTGCGCTTTCTATTCCCGGAAGCTCAGCAAGTCGGAACAGAACTACACCATCTGGGACAGGGAGTTGTTGGCCATCCACGCGGCTTTCAAGGCGTGGCGGCACTTCCTCATCGGAGCCAAGCACACCGTGCAGGTCCGCACGGACCACAAGAACCTAGAGTATTGGCGCACGGCGAAGCTCCAGAGCCAGAGGCACATGAGATGGGCGGAGTTCTTTGCGGATTTCGATTTCCGGATAGAGTATATCCCGGGAGACAACAACGTCATAGCGGATGCGCTTTCCAGGAAACCGCAGTATCTCGAGGAAGCGGCACCGGTGGCAGCCAGGCACATTTTCGCACCGCAAGCGTGGGCGTGCGCTTCCGCCGCCGTGGACCTGGACGCGGTACGACGCGCGCTACAGACGGATCCGTTCGCACAATCCAAGATGGAGGAGGTGCGAAGAGGGACAGCACAGGACGGCGAATTCCAGATACGCGACGGCCTGCTGACCCGCAAAGGTGCTCTCTACGTCCCGGGAGACGATCTCCGCGCGAAGGTTTTACAGCAGTTACACGACGCCCCCAGCGCGGGTCACTTCGGCAAGGAAAAGACGGCGGACTTAGTAGCCAGAGACTTTTGGTGGCCCCAGATGCGGGGAGAGGTCGCGGATTACGTCGCCAGGTGTGACACTTGTCAGAGGTCCAAGCCAGTGCACAAGAAGCCAGCGGGATTGCTGGAACCGCTGGAGACGCCACTGCAGCCGTGGGAAAGGGTGGCGCTGGACTTTGTCACTGATCTGCCCAGTTCGCGGGGCAAGACGGCGGTGCTTGTGGTTGTAGATCTGTTCACCAAGATGGCGCACTTCATTCCTTGCGCGAAGGTGGCAACAGCGGAACAGACCGCCAAGCTGTTCATAGACCACGTGTTCCGGGTGCACGGCTTACCACGGTCCATCTTGTCCGACCGGGGTCGCCAATTCATTTCCAGTTTCTGGCAGAAGCTCCTGGGCATCCTGAATGTCAAGATCAACTTAGCGTCGGCGAGACACCCGCAAACCAACGGCCAAGCGGAGAGAGTCAACGCCATCATGCAGCAGTACCTGCGATGTTACGCCAATCAGAATCCTGCAACTTGGGTGGACTACTTACCGATGGCCGAGTTTGCCTACAACAACACGAAGCACGCGTCAACGGGGGTGACACCGTTCTTCGCCAACAATGGGCGACATCCCAGAACCTTCCCGGCGTTGGAGACAACGACGCAGGGGGAGTCGCGGGGAGCGGAACATTTAGCAGCAGAATTGCAGGAGGTCCACGAGGAGCTACGACGGCACTTGGAACTAGCTAAACACGCCTACAAAGTGCAGGCAGACAGGCACAGGAGGGCAGGAGAAGACATCCAGGTGGGGGACTGGGTATGGTTAGCAGCCCAGGCGGTGCCGGCCAAGTCGTTAGCTAAGAAGAAGCTAGGACACAAACAGCTAGGGCCATACCAAGTTGAGGGCAGGATCAATCCCGTAGCTTTCGGTTGACCCTCCCAGAGGATTCCCGAATGCACCCGGTCTTTCATAGGTCGGTGCTTACACCCTACAAGACCCCACACAGATTTCAGGAGCCAGGGACGGCACCAGACCCACGTAGAAAGTCACCGGTGGGGGGGAGTCACCGAGGACCCCGACACTCAACGAGGTCACGGACATGCTGGACTCGAGATGGGGGAGGAGGGAGTGGAATACCTCCTCGCCAGGGAAGGTACCCGGCCAGCGCCAACAGTTGGGTGCCAGATTATGCTCTGGAGGAACCTTTTCTTAAGGACGAGTTCCATGCACTCTTCCCACACAGGCCCATGCCAGCGGAGTATTTTGACGACTGGCTTTTACCCCCACACTTTCAGGCAGCACCTTCCGGGGTTCTCCTCCGCAGAGGAGACCACGCCGCAATCGAGCCCTCCAAGGGGATCGTGCTCGGGGTGGACACGGACCGCTCTTATTGGTGGGACGATCAACCAGAAGTGGGGTGGCGAAGGGGGCCTTGGCAAGCAGCTTCGCCTGAAGTAACAGGGGGAGGGAAGGGTTTGGATGTGTTGGGGGAGGACCCCGGTTTCGAGCACTCCTACACTGAACTGGAAGCAGAGGAGATCAACGTCGACGAACTGTATCCAGCACCTACCCCCGCTACAACGAAGCTCCCGGAACCTGCGCCCGAGCAGCGGGAGGGGGGAAGGGGGGGCTTCGAGGGGGGGATGGATGTCAGCGGTTCAGGGAGAGAGGCACAGGGTAGGCAGGAGATGGAGAGCGATGGGGAGGAATTCCAAGCCAGCGAGGAAGAGGATGACAATGACTCAAGAGATTCCATGAGTCTTTCCAGCGAATCAGAGGATTCCCAGAAGGGGGCGCCGGTGGTCAAGGCCAGGAGCCCCAGGGGGGACGTGTCAGGAGCAGGGGGCCAGCGGAGGATCCCAAAGTGGCAGCTGGGCGTCAGGACCAGCCTCCCCACCAGAGTGCAGCGAAGGGGGTGGAGTTTCCAGTGTGTCAGAGGAAGCAGCTCCGGCAGCAGAGAAAGGAAGGGGGTCAGAGCAAGCCGCCCTCCCGGAAGGGGAGGGGAGCAGTGAAGGGAGTAGTGTAACTGTCAAAAGGAAAGTTAGAGGTTTGGCGCGCGCGCCTAGTTCAAATGTAGAGGCGCGCGGAAGTGCAGGGAGCCCGGAGGAGGGGCCAGGTCCCAAAGCCCGCAGGAGGGGGGGAAGAGCAGTCTGATTCCGCGTCAGAGGAATCCAGGAGGGGCGAAACCCCAGCGGGCAGAAGGACCCTGCGGAAAAGGAAGGAGAGAAAGAGGTGGAGCAGCGCAAGTCTCTTAAATTGGTGCAGGGGAGGGACTGACTCAGAGGGGACTTCAGCGGTCTAAGCGTAAGAGACGTAAGGCTGCGCGCCTAGGATGTCAAGCAAACAATGAACTGCAATAAACACCTTTGTATATAAGAAGACATAGGCGTTGGTCTTTTGTGAGCTGAGACTTGAGGCAGCTTTGACAATAGGCATAGGCTAAAACTAGCACTTTGAATTGGGCCCAGAAACTAATTGGCAGCCCGTGCAGTTGGGCCAGGATCGGTGTTATATGATCAAATTGCCTTGTCCCAGTGAGCAACCTGGCTGCTGAATTCTGCACCAGCTGAAACTTCTGAACCATCTTCAGCAGCAGCGTTATGTATAACATATTGCAGTAATCTAACCAGAACATAGACAAAAGAAGTTAGGTTCTCCCTGTCCAAATGGGCCACCAGCCGAAGCTGATGGAAGGCACTCTATGCAGCTGAGGCTGTCTGAACCTCAAGTGACAGCAAAGCATCCAGGAAGACCCCCAAGCTCCCTACCCTCTCCTTCAGAGGGAGGGTAACTCCCTCAACCTTCCAGCCATCTGGTCTAGGGAACTACCCACCCACAGTGTCTCAGTCTTAGAAATGAAATCAAATGAGCATTCTGGGGGCAAACTGTCTTAGGAAGATCTGAATTACCACCTGCCAGCTTGTTTCAGAAGAATCTCTGGTTTAGGCCTGTGATAACATGAAAAAGTGCTTTACCTCCAATTCCTCTACAAATCAAATTAGGCCTTGATTGATGCAGGAGACATACAAGTCTTCTACGTGAGTTGGTCAAGTCCTGAGACATGTGACCTGTGACCTGTGACCTGTGACCTCCAAGGCCAGCTTGCTCAACTGCCCTCCTTTAGGCAAAGTCGGTTGCCCCTTCTTCTTCTTCTTCTTCTTCTTCTTCTTCTTCTTCTTCTTCTTCTTCTTCTTTGCCATGGTTCAGCAAGGCTCATGAGCCAGATCAGGCCCAACCAGATCAGGCTCCACACTGGGAGCCAGTGTGGTGTAGTGGTTAAGAGCGGTAGTCTCATAATCTGGTGCACCAGGTTCGTGTCTCCGCTCCTCCACTTGCAGCTGCTGGGTGACCTTGGGCCAGTCACACTTCTCGGATGTCTCTCAGCCCCACTCACCTCACAGAGTGTTTGTTGTGGGGGAGGAAGGGAAAGGAGAATGTTAGCCGCTTTGAGACTCCTTCGGGTACTGATAAAGCGGGATATCAAATCCAAACTCCTCCTCCTCCTCCTCCTCCTCCTCCTCCAATTGCCTTCTAGATGTGGCCTGTGGATGGTCCGGGAATCTAGGCAGCCAGCATAGCACACGTGCTCAATGGTTTTTGCAACTCAGCCAGGCTTGGGAGTCAAAAATGAGGTGGGCGGCTGCTCAAGACAAGTCCCTTCTCCGTTCGCCGCACATGTGCAGCAATCTCTTCCAGGCTGAGGGGTGGGGAAGAGGGAAAAGGAGCCACAGTTTGGATTTCCACCATGGAGCTGCAGGCAACTGACCTCAGGAAGGGCAGCTGCAGCGGCAGGGGCTCGGGGGCACCTCAGGAGTGATGCCCGCCTGTGGCGGTGGTACTCCCCGCTATAGGAAGCGGGGAGTGCCTGGGCAGCTGCACTCCAAAGCAGTTCTGCGCTCTGCTGGGGAGGCCGCTCATTAGCTACATGGTGCAAGCCATGGAAAGGTAAATAGCAGCCACTGTCTCATCTTCCCTCACACGGGGAAAATAAAGTTTTTGCTTGAGCGGCGCCGGCCTGACTTAGCATGGCCAACAGCTTTTCCCTTCACCCACACATGCGCACTCACTCTCCAGGCCTGACAGGAATGGTGAGCTTACCTCAGCCCCCCACCCCACCTTACGAGAGAAATAATAACTGTCAATGTGTAAAATGCAAAGGAAGCAGCATGGATGTATGAGGGAACACCCCCCCCCAAAAAAAATCACATTTGGGCAACATTGAGGTTAGCTCCAATAAGGGTTTTTGCCAAAAATTCGGGTCATAATCATGGCAACATATAGTCTATCCCCCCCCCCCCAAGGTCTGAGGGACAGTGGACCGGCCCTCTGCTGAAAAAGCTTGCTGACCGCTGTTCTACGCTCTATAATCAACTCTGAAGAAAATGGGGGGCACTTAGCTAAAAACCAATCAACTACCTCTAACAGGCTTTTGGAATAAAGCAGTCTGCTCAGCAGATTAATTCTGGATCCGCTTAAGAGCATGGATCCAGGCAGGGCCACAGCAAGCGGCTGGGCAGCTCTTCTTTTGCTTCCTCCTGTGTGCCAGCTGGGCACTGTGCCAACAAGCAGGGAGAGATGCGCCTGCTGCTGCCAGCTGGAGCAGTCTTGTACCCTCTTTCTCTGAGACTTTTCTTGGGGCTCCAGATTCCCACCTGGCTAGTTGCTGGTTTTTGTTGTTTGCTTTTGAAAAGGGACATCTACTATTTGCAGGTTTTTGTCTCAGCTGAGTTTCATTTCATTCCTCTTGCCAAAGGACATTTTCATCTCTAGTTCCCTGCTCCAGTTCCCATCATATTTAAGGCCAAAATTTCAGTGGGGTGTGCCCAACTTGGTGCTCAGCCTAGAGGCATAGCATGGGAAGGTTGGGGGGGGCATCGCCCCGGGCACAATTCTGAGAAGGGATGCAGGGCACCGTGGGCTGCTGCATCCTTCTCAGGTGCCCTCCGGCAGTTGAGAAGGACACAACAGACATGCGCTGGCTCCGCCCCTGGTTCCGCCTCCTAGTTGTGACTTGTTCGTGGGCAACTTGGCCTCATTGTGGAGAGGGAGTCAGAATTTTCAGTTCCTTGCTCATTCTAATTTTTTTTAATGTTTTAATGGTTTTTTACTAATAATTCTATTGTTTTATATTATTTTGTAAACCATTTTGAGGTTCTTGTTGTTTTATATATATTTTATTAATAAATAAAATAAACCAACTATAAAGACTATACAGAAATGCTGTTACAACAGGCTGAAAGCAGCATAAGATTGAACATCATCACTGAACCTGTTTCAAAACATTTCAAAAAATACCCCTTTCCTAATAAACCAGTTAGGCTGGTTTATATGGACCCTTTTGTAAGATGTTAGCCTAATCATAATTACTAGGGACCAACTTTTCTCAATCCATTCAGATATAGTAGGTAAATGTTAAGGTAAAGGACCCCTGGACAGTTAAGTTCAGTCAAAGGCGACTATGGGGTTGTGACGCTCATCTCGCTTTCAGGCCGAGGGAGCCAGCGTTTCTCCGCAGAAAGCTTTTGCAGGTCATGTGGCCAGCAGGACTAAACCGCTTCTGGTGCAATGGAACATTGTGACGGAAACCAGAACACACAGAAACGCTGTTTACCTTCCCGCCACAGCGGTACTATTTATCTACTTGCACTGGCATGCTTTCAAACTGCCAGGTTGGTAGGAGCTGGGACAGAGCGACGGGAGCACTATATCAAAGCATTGTATACAAGGTTGTGAGGGATGAGTATGGTTGCTCACAAGTAAACAGCCAGGACTCCGACCTGCCTTTTTACAGGTTTTATTTGGTGCAAACTATGTACAGTGCAGACATCCAAAGTTCATGTCTCCCTCAGTTGCTAGCAGATTCCGAGAGTGGGCTTTTCCTGCCCCCCCCCCCAGCATAAGAACCTCGACACGCCCAGTCTCCACCTCTTTTCCTTACGCTTGACTGCCTTGCCAAAACTAGGCGATGGAAGTTGCATCTCTGTTTCCC